TAAAGATACATAGACACAAATCTATTAAAGAGCAGCAGTGTGGGCCAATAGACGCCCCTTTGTCATTGGCCTTTGGCACAAGCTGGTGGCGTGCAGCTTCCCAACTTTCTCAACCAACTTTCCTGGTCCCGGAGTTAGCTGGGTGCCTCTCTAACCTGGCTGCAGGAATAGAGCTCCGAGTGATCAGCCTGGGGTGGACACAAGCACAAATAGGCTTGGCTCGGTCCACGCCAAAGGAGCACCAGTCTGATCCACTTGTACCCCTACCTCCTCAATAGCAGGGATAGCACAGCCTACCAAGTCATGTGGGGAGAACTTACAGGCCATCTTGGAGTGGGCATAATGAATAAACAAACTCTCCACACAAGCCAGGGGAGTCCAGCCTCAATAAGCAAAACTAATCCCACAACCTTGAGGAACAGCTCTGCATGGGCCCCATTTGAAGGCCCCCCAAAAGCACAGCCATTTGCAGGCTCTCCCCCACCCCCCTTTTTAACTTCTTTTGTTAGCAGATAATACACACCTAGTCCATTAGCAAGGTATTAGCATAACAATACAACTAGAAACCGGTATAGCAGTTTTACAAAGCATGGGCGGGGAGTTCAGGCTTTCAGAGACAGACTAAAAGCCTCAGGGTCCAGAAGCTGTTTCATTCCTCCCTTCTAAACCACCTGGTGTTTGTGCAGGTACTCCCTCACCCCCACTTGATTACCTCCATCGTCCAAAAGGAGCAGGCCTTATCCCCTCTGACCTGATATAACAGAGGATTCCTTTAATTACCGGTAACCTAAATCATAATACAGTACTCTCAACCACATGAGACATCAAAATCACTTCCCTAGCTTTAACTTCAACCCAACCCGACATCCTAAAGGACCACAAGGTGGTAAAACAACATACTAATGATACTGCTCCACCTGCTCAAAAGACCTCCGCTCCTCACAGTCCCCAGTTTCCCCCAAGACAAGACCTAGATCTCAGCTGTTCTTCGGTTGGTATTGTTGTTGCTCGGTTTTATCATTCCTTTACCCTCCCCCTCTTTAAAACAAAGTTGCACACGATCCTTATAATTCATCTTTACTCAGGACATCCCCATATGTTGGTATATGCAAGGGCCAATAATAGATATTTTACCTTTTTGCTTTCAGTTTATCTGTTTTCTAGTCCCTCAACACAGCATCAATCCAGAAGTTACCACCACATCAGTGACAAAGCTCCAGGGCCAAGTCTAGAGCTCAAAGAAACATACATCAACAGCATTTTTTGCTTCTCACTCTAGTATTATGTTTTCTATTTTTATGTTTAATACTTTTGTCTCTTTTCCTTTCCTTCTTTAATTTTAAGATCTAACTTGTCTTCCACAGCCCTTTTACATCTCTTTCTCCCTCATTTTCTTATTAATCTTTCTCTTTCTTTCTCATCCTCATAAAACCAAATGCTGACCCTACACTTCATTTTTTTCTTAAATATTATTACTCATTCCTCCATCATTGCAAAACAAGGCATTTTGGGGGTCTGATTTACTTTCTTTTAACCTACCAGTTAACACTGCCTGATCCCTCCTTTTTTTGATTCCTTTTTAATTTCTTTCTTCCACGGAGCTGCTGGTGGTTTTGAACTGCCAACCATGCAGATTGCAACCCAATGTGTGACCACTAGACCACCATAGCTCCTTTAATTTCTTTCTCAATCTTCTAACACTTCCTCTTCCACTTTTTTGATCTCTCCCCTAACACTTAATCTAACATCTCCTCCAGATAATATAAATTGTCTACCACCCCTCTACTGCACCACCTAACAGCCTTATCTATTTCCACATAATACCACCTTCCTAACACCCCCAATAGCTACACCAGGATGTCAAGGGAGCAACAAAAGATATGAGTTTGTTAGATTCCTCGGGTGGGAAATACCTCAGTCCTTGGCTTCCCATGAGAAAGAATTCATTCAGAAGCCTAGTTTTTGATCCAGGTGGATTTTTATACAGGATAGAAGTTGTTTCAGGCATTATAGTAACTGAACACAAGCACCCTTGTGGCACTACACACCCAAACATGGTGGCCTGAGACCAGAGAGAGAGACCATGGCTTGACCAAGCAGAACCACAGCCCAGACGAGCGGAAGGCCGAGGAGCAGCTAGAAAAAGAAGAGGGTGGTGGTCTCAGGTTTCAGCTTTTTAGGGCCTTTTTGTGGGAGGCCTGGTCGATGGTATTGGTTGACCATTGGCTGAATTAAGTCCACCCGGCCTAGATTGGGGCCTACCGAGGTGTACTGGAGGTGTACTGGCTCAGGGGCCTGAATTGGCACATGCCTTTAGCCTGCATTGGCTTCCAACCTCCTGTAGGGGGCCCCTAGGCATGGAGAGGAAAAACCCTCTATACAGCTACCTAACAAGTTTACACACAAAAACCAAGAGAAATAACGGAACGCCGCCCAGACCTAAATGAAATGCCTGATGCTGAACTATGGGATTACCAGAAAGAGAACTTAAAAGAATGGTGACAGCACTTACACAACAGATGAGGAGTCTGCGAGGAAGAGTGAAAAAACAGGAAACCTGGAAACCTCACGACATACCTCACAGGCAGAAACGCGAAAGTCAACTACTACAATGGCAGAACCACAAAGCACTATAAAAGAACAGAAAAACAGATGAAAACCCGAATTAGCGAGCTTGAAGACAAATCTACAGACTCCAATAAAAAAGAACAAATAACAAAAAGTGCTAGAGACTGAGACCAAGGTGGGGCACAATCAAGAGGAACAGCCTATGTCTTATAGGGGTTCCAGAAGAGGAAGAAACAACAACAAAAATCCACACAAAGAACAGTCTAAGAATTCCTGCAAGGAAACGTTCCTTAATGCCTAAAGAATGAAAAGACATATTCAGGAAGCTGAAAGAACCCCAATCAGGAAAGAGCCCCAAAGGAGAACTCCCCAGGATATTGTAGTCAAAATGTCTAACATCAAAGACAAGGAAAAAAATTCTAAGAGCAGCCAGAGAAAAAAGAACAATTACATACAAAGGGTCAGCAATTAGAACAGCTCCTGATTTCTCAGCAGAAACCATGCAAGCAAGAAGACAAAGGAGTGATGTATACAGAGTCTTGATGGAAAAAGACCGTCAACCTAGAATCTTGTAATTGGCAAAAATATCACTGAAATGTGCAGAAATGAAAGTACTCTAATACAAGGACTCACTGATATTTCTGTTGGTGGGTATGTTGGGTAAATCTGTAGGACCAACCTCACATCAGGAAGGGAAGCTAAATAATAATTGTAGGGAACCTAAGGGGAGAGTAAACCCAGTCCTACATTCCTGGGTAAACACTTCAAAGATGTTTCTACAGAATTCTTAGTGAATTATGTCATCAACTAAACACTATGATGACCATAGACACTGAACTTACAGGGAACATTGCAACCCCCAAGAGCCCTATCCAGATTCAACATAAAAGCCCGACTAAATAAACTGGGCCCTACCTCAAAACTACCTGTATCCTTGGACTTCGGATTGATATATCCCGATGGGAGAGGAAGCAAAGGATGGCCAACCCAAGACTCTGGAAATGGCAATCGTTCGACCTTGGGTGAGACCCCTGGCTTACTGGATGTTCATTGAAAGGGGACTCAGAAGCGCTATATATTTAGTACTTCAATGCTCCCTACTGCATTAATATGACAGGTATTGATCTGATAAACAAGGATCTGCCCTTGTAAGAAATGGTGCAGGGAATTTCCCCCTACACCAAACCCATGCTCAATATAAAGAGCTCAATCAATTAAGAAATCAATCTATACAAAGCAACAACTCATGAATTGCAGCTCACAGTTGGACTATACTCATATAAACTCCTCATATCAATAGTACCTTAAATGCTACTAGATAAATTATTGATATTACTAATACAATCACCTTATAACACAAGGGGGTGATAGACAATGTTTTCCTGTTTCTTTCTTTCTTTTGTTTGCTTTTGCTTCAAGGTAAACAAGCGGCCATCTAGCTAAGAAGTAACAAAGCCCACATGGAAGAAGCACACCAGCCTGTGTGATTAAGAGGTGCCGAAGCGATCAGCTATCAGGCATCAAAGAACAAAAAATCATATCATTGTGAATGAGGGGGCATGCGGAGTGGAAACCCAAAGCCCATCTGTAGGCAACTGGACATCCCCTTACGGAAGGGTTGTGGGGAGGAGACAGTCAGGGTATGGTGTAGCAATGATGAAATATACAGCTTTCCTCTATTTCCTAAATGCTTCCTCTCCCACCCCCCACTATCAAGATCCCAATTCTACCTTACAAATCTGGCTAGACCAGAGGATGTACACTGGCACAGATAGGAACTGGAAATACAGGGAATCCAGGACGGATGATCACTTCAGGACCAGTGGTGAGAGTGGCAATACCAGGAGGGTGGGGTGGAAAGGGGGAACCGATAACAGGGATCTACATATAACCTCCTTCCTGGGGGACGGACTACAGAAAAGTGGGTGAAGGGAGATGTCGGACAGTGTAAGATATGACAAAATAAGAATTTATAAATTATCAAGGGTTCATGAGGGAGGGGGCGTGGGGAGGGAGGGGGAAAAATGAGGAGCTGATGCCAAGGGCTTAAGTGGCGAGCAAATGTTTTGATAATCATGAGGGCAACAAATGTACAAATGTGCTTTACATAACTGATGTATATATGGGTTGTGGTAAGAGTTGTATGAGCCCCCAATAAAATGATTTAAAGAAAATTACACAAATAATGAGTACAAGGAAAAAAATGTTCTAAAATTGATTGCTGTTATGATTGTACAACTGATCTTGATATAACTGAATTATTGAATTGGATATGTGGATGTAGTGCTAATAAAACTGTTTTTAAACATTAAAGATGTCTTGTGCAACAGATTTGCCCTGTCCCACCCCACCCCTACCCCACCAAAGAAACTCAATGGTAAACCCAGAACATTTTTTTTAAAGATCATTTTATTGGGGGCTCCTACAGCCATTATAACAATCCACATATCAAGTATATTTGAACATATGTTGCCACATAATTTTCTAAACATTTACTTCCTATTTGAACCCTTGAAACCCAGTAATTTTTATTACATAGCAGCTACTGTTAAAGATACATACATTTTTTAATGTAGTATATAATCTTTGAAATATATAAACTTTAGAAAAGACTATGCCCTTGGGGATTTATAATTAAAATTATACATTTGAAGGAATAGAATTATAAAAGTATAGAATTTATAATTAAAATTATACATTTGAATGAATAGAATTATAAAATTATAGAATTTATAATTAAATTTATACATTTGAAGGAATAGAATTATAAACGAATCTAATTCAAAAAGGAGAAAACCAGCAATTGGGCATTTTAAAATAGCATGTTATATATCATTGGAAAACCTTGAACAGTAAATATCCAATGGAGAGATGGTTAAATAATCTTATGTTCCTATGGACTACTCTTAGATATTTATTTTATAATTAGAAATTTAAAATTCAATGCAGGAAAACATTTCATTACTAAGTCTGTATTCTGTGATTATGATTTCATTTGAAACTAGAAGTATAACATCTTTCTTCACTAACTGTCAGTGTCAAATCCTGTATGAAAGGGCTTCAAAAGTTCCCGGGAAAATTCCTTGATCTCTTAGCTCCATTCTTCCATGAACTTATTGCAGCCCTCTCTTATTTCACTCAGCGTGCAACATAGAATACAATTGTGAATCCTCTAGCAGGGAGGAGATATTCAGTTTTATAGGTTCACTGTATAATCAAGTGAATGAAGCTGCTTCAATATTAAGTACGCACTGTGGCTGATTAACTAGTGTATTTGCAACATCTCAGGAAAGGGAGGGTATGATGTGAACAGCAAGAAGAGTGGAATGTGATCTCATTGGAATACTAACACTGCTGATTAGTGGGAATGCAGGTGACTTGTTTTCTCCCCTTTGCTTTTGTTTTTAAAAACATTGACAATATGATGCTCTCATAATGGTTCAGAGCCCTGTTGGTGTAGTGGGTACATGTTGGCCTATCATGCGCAAGGGGACACTAGCTGTTCTGCGGGAGGAAGACGGGACGACTTCCTACTCCTATAAACAGTCTGGGACACTCACAGGAGCAGTTCTACCCTGTCCTGTAGGGTTGTTATGAGTCGGCAAATTTGGTTTTTGGTTCATAACGAGATGAAAACAAATGAAGAAAAATTACAGTGAGACCAGTTGCCGTTTAGTCGATTACAATTCAAAGTCCCCATGTGTGTCAAGTAGAACTGGCGCTCCACCGGGTTTTCTGTGGCTGGTCTTTTGGAAGTAGCCAGGCCTTTCTTCCGAGGTCCCTGTCCAGTAGCAACTGAGCACATTAGTAGTTTCACTATCCAGGGTCTCAGAGGTGAAAATAAGTGTTTTTTAAAGGGAATGGGAATGTCTCTGGTGGTTGGGCAGCCTTGCTATATTGGGATAGGTTAAGAATTATGTTTTACCTGCAAGTTAGGATTTCAATTAGGATTGAATTAGAGGTTTAGCTTCATTAACTTACTTTCCTGGGTTATTCGTTCTTCATTAGTTCAATCTTTGTTCATTATTATTACTCTATCACAATAATGATTTCCTGTAGTTTTGGTTACATGCCATCCGGTCAGTTCTGACTCAACAATCTTCCTCTTCTTCGCTGACCCTCTCCCAGCAAGATGCCCTTCTGTGAGACAGGCACAGGCCCTCCTGTGGGACATGTCCTTTGATTTCCTGACTGCTGCCGTGGGCACTGATAATGGGTCCAAGTAAAGTGAGATCCTTGACAACTTCCGTCTTCTCCATTTACCATGACGCCACGTACTGCTTGTATAGACTTAGAATGAAAACTGACTGAGCAGCTGTATGTGCTATTATGAGAGAGCAAGCCTGAAGAACAGTCTGCAGAAACATCTAACATGCCTTCCCGGCTGCTCAGCCTTGTGTTGGGCTATGCTGAGGATCCTCGGAGGCCAGCGCTGCCAGGGTACTATGGTTGGTGCTGGTGAGGTGGTGAGTATATGAAAAATAACAGAGTGACTTATTTTGGCAATGGAAAGAGAAGTAACACAGACCTCAGAGGCAGGAAAAGCTGATCCGCTTCAGATTTATGACTCTTCTAAGGTTTCTATTTTTCCCCAATAGCTGAGATTCAAGCAAGACAGGTATCTTAAATGGCACAGTTGATTAGCTCCTCACCTACCTGTAGGATACAGGCAAGGAGAGAAGAGGACGTCACACTTAAGGAGATAGATGTCCCTGTGGTTTCTCAGCACCTGCCAAAATATGTCAGCTGTCTTTGAACCGGGGCAGATGGCAGAAGCTTGCATTTACAATGGAACTGGGCACAAGCTGCCCGAGCTTATATGACTAGGGCAACTTTCCCATGGACAAACTCAGTCACCCAAGGAGAAGCAGCCCAAGCGAGCATGGCTACTATCAAGAAGATGGAAAACTATGGGTGTCTGGAAGCGGACACACCGCTGGACAACATAGTTAGGGCGAGAAGGCCTGTACCTCATCATTTAAGGCTCAGGGGCTATCACGTAAGAAGGGTGACCCCTGCACTCACGCCCCTCTCTACACCCACTCATGCCAGGCCTGAGCTTTGTTATAGTGGGGAGGGGGCTGGCTATCTTTTTCCATCAAGTAATAGATGGCAGAGCTGGGCAGGAATCTCTGGATTACAAGTCCCACTTGCAGGAAGAACTTTTTAAATGGTCCTGAAATGTCATCATGCCCATCTGAAGGGCAGGTCCTGAAACCAGAAAAGCAGCTCTCACCTGTAACTGGAAGGTCCCTGACTTAAACACGCCAGCTGCTCTGTGGGCAAAGATGTAGCAGTCTGCTCCCACAGGTTCAAAGTCTTGGAAACCCCAAGGATCAGGTACAGTTTGTCTACAGTATCAATACGATTTGGAATTGACTCCATGCATTGTCACGCTTTTGTTACGATCACGAGGGGAGGGGGTGGTGAGGTTGGGATGGTACACAGGTAGCTCAGCAGTGGAACTGTTGCCTGCTGTCCAGGAAATCTGGGTGTGATTCCTGTACCATGTCCGGAAAATAAGCTCAGTGGAGGCTCATGCATTGCTAGGATGCTAAACAGGCTTCAGACTGAGACAGAGGAGGAAGAAAGGGCTGGAGATCTACTTCTGAAAGTCAGCCAATGGAAAGCCTATGCATTACCATCGCTTGATCTCGTTGCAATGGGGTCAGCGGGAGTGGAGGGCCTGTGGCCCATAACAACAGAATCAGTGCATGGCTTGACTGGGCTCGGGCTTCAGGACAGACAGGAATGTACAGAGGACACAGGAAATTGAACTCATCCTGAGGTATGCTGACATCTATATGGGGGGGGAGGGGGAGGGATCTACAGTTTCTCAGCAGAAAAGCACGGAACAGTCTTCACAACTGGAGTGACTCAGGCTCCTCTTCCCAGCAGCTGGTGATTGAAGTTAGCCACGGAAATCCTTTCTGTTCATACAGGCAGCATAGCAGCTACAAGGGGTATCAAGTGTCTGTGGGAAAGTCTTATTATTACCTCTTGATCCCGTTCCGTTTTTCCACAGACTTTTTATTTCTTTTCAGTTTCAAAATATTTTCTGCCTTCTTGAACTCTTTGATGTCAGCTCTCCTTGCCTCCCCCACCGTACTACCCAGGAAGGAAGCCTTAATCCCCTTGCTGCCTCTATAGGCTCCTCACTCCTGGGGTTCAGATACTGAAAAACAGAAACACACATAACAAAGATTCAAGAAGGCTATCCACAATGACGATACAAACCCCAATCTGGAAGGGGAAAAAAGCACAGAAAATGTTGAAAAACAGATTAGGCTTAGCCCCCAAAGTGCACTGACAAAGTTTTAACTGTTCAAGTCAGGTTTATCATTTTGATCTCCTATCGTCATCTCTCCAATGTATTCCATTTGGTAACCAGTTTACTCCCATCCCTCGATTATGGATTCAGGGAAATCACTGGATGCTTATTTCTTGTACAGATCTCAGAAATGAATCATTGGCTTCCACTGTCATCCATCCATAGCCTTCTGCAAACCAGAATGTCACCATTGAAGCTTCCTTTGGCTTTGGGTTATGTAATTTACAATCCTTGGGTCACAGATGTTGATGTGCTTTTTCCATGGGGCCTAATATTTCGCTTCAATGGCTGCTTATTTGGAAATAAGCCTTTAGGACCCCAGATGCTATTCTATCTGATAGCCAAGTACCATCTAATTTCTTCCCCACATTTTGCTATAGCACCCGTATCTTGTTTCCTTTCTGTGGGTGAGAGTCAACCAGGGCCATGTCATGAGAAATGATTGTTTTTAAATTAGAGCTATGGTTTAAGTACAAGCCCAGAATCCATTTTTAGACGTATGTTTTTTTTAATCTGCCTCTCTGGGTCCCCGAAGAGACTTCCTTGTGAATTTATGGTAGTGAATCTTATTGCTCACCTCCCTGGAACATAAAGATTTTCTGTGAACATTTTCATTGATTAGCCCGTGGCACTAACTTTTAGAAGGACATTGGACCAGTGTAGGCTAACTACTTATCACAATACCTGAATCATTTACTTGTACAAAATAAACCCTTGAGTGACTGGAAGCTATTTGGGAGTCATCAGGCAAAATTTATAATAATATTCACTAACAACGTCAATTAGAGGTCTGCCAGAATAACATATATTTGAATACAACATTAGGGCATTGATGTACTAAGTCCATGTTTGTCTGCCTACAGACAGTTAATACTCTTGGTGTAGCTGTCTTCTGCTTCTTCAAACTCCATGAATTTCCAGTCTTACGTCCTCAGGTTACAGGTGTGTTTGAAGTAAAGTCCAGTTCACCTCGTGGAGTTTCCTTATCAGATCTCTCCTGTATGGGTTTTGTAGCGTGTTGTGTACCTGGAAGAGACAGGATTCAATACCCGTGTTCTACAGCACTTGACTTGGGTCCCCAGAGTGTGTCCAGAAACTTGGCCCAATGTGACTTATTAAGTGCATATTACCAGGCACACTTCCCCCTTAGAGGATGGTGCATGGAAGCTCACTGGCAGCAGTCGAGTTCTCCTGGTGCTTGTCCCTGTAGTATTTGCCCTTTTGTGATGGACTAACTTCACTCAGCCCAATGCTTTCCAGTTCCCCCATGGAATGAGGCTTCATGGCTACTTTTTAGGGATGTGTATTATTCCATTTTTTAAATCCATTCTTCTACATTGGGATTAGGCTGTTTCCAACTTCTTGCTATTGTGACCTGTGTTGCAAAGAACATGGGGAATATGCATCTGCTCACAACCGGTCTCATACTTCTTTGGGGTATATGCCCAGTAGTGGTATTGCTGTGTTGTATGGTATGTCTCTTGCCAGTTGTTTTAGGAATCACAATATTGCTTTCGACAGTGGCTGTAGGTATTTACAAGCCCACCAGCAGTGAATAAGAATTCCAATTTCTCCATACCTCTTCAGCATTTGTTGCTCTCTGTGCTTTTAAATTGGGCTCTGGTTATGGGTGTTAGATGGAATCTCATCATGGCTTTGACTTGCATTTCCCGGATGGCTAGTGAATGAGCGCATTTCCTCGTTCCAAGGGCGTTTAGATGTTCCCACACATACCTGTGATTTTCTTTATCCAGCAGGTATTTCTATCCTCCTCCTTCTGGTTACAGCCCCCCATATTGCTTTCCCTTTGGGAAATTGCTTCAAGTACAGGCTGCCTCAGGTAAAGTACATAGTTCAGTCCTGGCCAATTCAGACCGCCATTGTTCTGAACAGTGACTCCAAACCAAACTGACTGCCATCAAGTGATTCTGACTCATAGCGACAGCGCAAGGAAGAACTGCCCCTTTGGGGTTTCCAAGACTTTTCATATATATATATTTTACTTTTAATCTTTATGAGAGTAGACAGCCTCATCTTTCTCCCATGAACAGTGACTGGCTTTAGCAAAAGACATATAACCTCAGTAGAACCAATTAAAGTCTTTCCTGAAACATTTCCCTTGAGCTGATATGAAAGACTGCTTCAAACAAACAGCAAAAGCCAACAACAACCCCAAAGTGTTCAAATTGGATAATCTTAAGCCTACGCAAAGTCACAGAAATAATGTCGGAAACACCCTTGTACTTGACACCCAGGTTCAGCATTTATCCAATTCATGTCCAGTCTGATTAGAAAAAAATTTTTTCCCAACAAGGATGGCTAACCTTAGGAGGATGGTGTAACAGACGTATAAGCATAAGTAAAAAGGTATTGCTACTCACATCCATGGGTTTATAGCAAACCAAACGTCACTGCAATCTGGGCACAGCTGCAGACAAGTTCTCTCAGATGCTTACCTTAGCCTTGCTCGGCTACCCTCAATAATAAGGGTATGCATTTATGCCACGGGGGAAAAATGAGGTTAGGGCTCATATCAAAGTTTTAATGAAACTCAAGTAGACATATTCCCAAATCATTGAAGCGTTGCAACAGATTAATGGGAATGCTGCCCCAAATAAAACAACAGTTTACAGATGAATCCCATATTTTTAGAAAACAGGAAGCTCTCAAAGATGAATTAGAGTCAGAGATGTCAGCTCAAAAGGTCATGGGCTATTCAGGGGATTCCAAAGAGCAGTCTTGATAGATCTTACACATAGAACAATCGCAGACGGTTCTGAAATAGTTTTTCAAAAATTGAAAATTGCACTGGTGAGAACAAAAGGCCAGAAATGCTGCACCGAACATTTTTTCCCACCCCAACAATGTTCCTGCTTGTTCTTCAAGGGTAGAAAGGATGGTCTTATGAAGATTTAACTGAGAAACATACCCCCTCCAAACTACATCCCTGATCTTGCCCACTCAGATTTATTTCTGTTCTCAAAAATCAAAGAATCCTTAGCTGGGAAAGGATTTGAGTCCCTTGAGGATGTAACAATGACTGCCTGGGCGGCTATTGGCCGAAGAGCCCAGAATCCCTCAGGGAAGAGAGGGTGGGATCACCACCTTCAGCAGTGTGGGGGCCTGGATGGAGGTGATGCCAAGCACAATAGCTTCACGCAGTGATATGTTTGCTTAATAAAAGTTTCTGATTCCATCGAAATGCTTTTTGACTTATCTAGACATGTGTTAGCAAAGAGAACCTAGCTTCAAAATGAATCCAAACAGAAAGTGGAAGTATGAGGCAGAAACCTGAGGGCCCTGTTTGAGCTCTTGGGTCTGGCTCAGCATCACTGGACTTCTGGACTTCCTTCTTGGCTTGTGTCAGACTTAGGGGGATTTCTTTCACTTGAAAAAGGTACTGTATAACCTCAAAGAAACAATAAATAGCTCTAAATTTCAGTCCCAGTGAAATCACTCATCTACTAAAGCTTTTAAATTGAACAACATAAATACCATTAAGAGATGTAGTGGAGGGTAAATATTTTTTACTTCATAAAGACTCCCAAAGAAAAGAAAGTTACTCCTCCGTATCAACCATCTTGTTGTCCACCGTTTCACATCTACAACCCTCGTGAACAACCTGCTGAGTATCCTGCCTTTAGCAGCTACGTCCGGCGGTGATGACCACTGAGGCGCAAGGCGAGAGTTCTGCTGGCTGTGGCGGTTAAGATTTACAGATCAACTTAGCTGGATCAACTTGGTGCTCAGTGATTTGGCTGTTACGTAATGTTGTAATTTATCAGTTATGTCAGGATGTAGTCATCCTCCATTCTGTGATCTGATGTGGTCTTCCTCCACTTTTGCAAAACCACGATTTTCACGTAATGCTGATGTTTTTGAATAAAGGTGATTGAAACTGAATCATGTAGTTAACTTAGGGATAGGTGTAATCCAGTCCCCAAATCTATACAGTATCTCTGATTCTGAATTACGCTCAAAGCAATGAATGAATGAATGAATAAAATCCCTCCTACTTAGCATTCTGTGTTGTATGTTAATCCCACCTCTACCATCCAGCGTAAGAGGGCAACACTTACACTTTTGCTTTGCTAGTTCATGTATTAGGTCTTCATATACTTGTGAAAAGAGCTCCTCTTCTGATTTTGTTCCATCCAGGTAAACTGAGAAGTGGAAGAGGCAATTCACATGTTGACAGGCTGGTTAATATAGGCACCTTTTTTTTTTAACTATCATTTTATTGGGGGCTCATACAATTCTTATCACAATCTATACATACATCAATTGTGTAAAGCACATTTGTACATTCACTGCCCTCATCATTCTCAAAACATTTGCTCTCCACTTAAGCCCCTGGCATCAGCTCCTCATTTTTATCCCCTCCCTCCCCACTCCCCCCTCCCTCATGCAACTGTTGATAATTCATAAATTATTATTTTATCATATCTTACACTATCTGATGTCTCCCTTCACCCACTTTCCTGTTGTCTGTCCCCCAGGGAGGAGGCCACATGTATATCCCTGTAATTGGTTCCCCCTTTCCACCCCACCTGCCCTCCACATAGGCACCTTCTCATAAAGTGGAGTGATGGTGAGTTATACTGGCTAGGCTGTGGCACTCAGTTATCTGCTTGACCAAGTATAGATATTGCTGTGATGGTGTTTTGTCTCCATGATTAGCATTGACAACCTGCCCACTCCTAAGTACAAAAGATTACCCTGCATAATCTGAGTGGGCCTCGTCTCATCAGTTAGAGGCTTTAAGAGCAAGAACTTAGGCTTCTATCTCCAAACTGTAACAGACATCCTGCTAGAGGACTTTCCAGTCTGCTACTTATCTTATGGCATTTGGACTGGGAACCCCAATAATCACATAAGGCAATTCTTTAAATAAATCAATCGCTCATATGTAGGTTTTTTTTTTAAGTTCAAGGGAAAATTCTTTTTAGGTCCATTTTTTCATGAACTTTTTGAAGGGCCCCTGTGTGTACACACATGTACATATTCATATCCATCCACCCATCATATTATTGGTTGTTTTCCTGGAGAACTTGGACTAAAATAGGTGATAAACTGACATCTCTCTTGCCAACAGGTTAAATCAAAGAACTGTGGACAATAACTTTAAAAAATGAAAAATGAAATGAAGAAGAAGAAGAAATAGATTATAGCCAGGAACAACAAATCAAGGATTCTGGTTTGCCACAAAGTAACTGCTATGCAAATAAAAAAAAACCAATAATGTAAGGAAAATAATTAAATGGAGATGTGTACGTGTGGGCACTTCAGGTGTACCCAAGAGGAACCTCCCCAAGAATCATTTAAGGGAATGGTTTTCCAATCCACTTATACAACAGAATCAGTCTGAAACCTCCTTGACCTTTGCAGGGCTTTATGTACCTGTGATAGATAGGTTTATTGTGCCAACCTGTCCAATAAGAACATGTGGGATTAATAAGGTCACAGTTTGATTGAAGGGCAAAGAGATAAATGGCTTGGCGAGGCTCGCCTTTCTGTTTCTTGCTCTCTGGTGATCGGACCAGTGTGCAGTTATCTTAGCTCGTTCTCTGCCTCAACTCGCAAGCTACACTACCTGTGGGACTGTGTGGCTACAGCTTGAGGCGCCTTCGAGACCTGCTTCACCACACTGCTGGTGTATACATCGCTTGAGCTGGGGACGGTTTGATCCTGTCATCTGGCTGACTGTTGGTGACCTGCCCTGCTGTTTGCTGCCTGTGGCCGGAGTGCCTGCATTGCTCTACAGGAGACTCAGCTGTCTGCTTCCTTGACCTTGGACCCAGCTGCCCTTGTGAGATGGACTGCCAGTATATTAACTGTTTCACGGAAGTGAGTTGAACTGAGCCCTCTGTACTGCTATGTGGGATAATTAGCTGTTATATTCATTCGTACTGTATCTATCCAACTATCTATCATCAAATCATAAGTGTCCTGGTTTTGTTTCTCTAGAGAACCCTGTCTAACACAATACCAAATTAGAATTTGCCAGATCTAGGAATATGTATTCGAGGACTAGGAATATGTATTCTTAACAAAACCAGCAAAAGCAGTTTTGGAGGAAAAGTGGGAGTTATCTGGGCTTAAGGGAAGAAAGGCCTTTCGAGTCGGACAACAGCAGAAGCCAGCCGGTTGGTGAGAGAAACGGACAGTTTGGAATGGCTAGGACATGGGGTGGTAGGAAGGAACAGTGTGAGAGTGAGATTCTGGAGCAAGGCAGTGCTTCAGCTGTTAGATGACTTGCGGTCTGGCTTTTTAAATTGTATCTCAAAGTGCTGTCTGTCCTTTGAAAGCACATCAGCAGAGAACAGGCACGGTCCATCTCCCACTTTAGATGGGGAAGGAAAGTGAGGGATGTGCTGGCCACAGAAACTCTTGACAGGAAATAGTGTATCTCTGGGGGTAGAAGGAGGAGTCCACTGGCACTGCTACAGCCATCCCCAAGGCCAGCTAGTCTTTCTCCTGAGAAATGTACACTGCCCACCTCTCCTGATCACCTGTCTCGCTGGTCTCCTACCATGTCTCTGCCTTGACTCCAATTCTGGTCATCTGTTCTTGGTTCAGTGTCACAGATCCAGTGTCTAGCTCTGATTGGCTACTTTGTGTTTCCCAAGCTTCTCAACCTCCTTATGGCTAAAACAGACTGGTGTTCTTCCCTTAGCAATCTGCAATTCCTCTGTCCTGTGTTCCCAAAATAACGCCCAAGTTATTTCAAGAAACAGGAATGAGCTCAGGGTGAACCCTACTCCAACACGACTCATGTCCTTCCAGAAAGCAGAGGAAAGACTGAGACACAGAAGGAAGGCTGCCATGTGAGGGTGGAGGAGAGGTCGCAGTGGAGCTGGCACAAGCCAACAGCACAGGGCACTGGCAGAGCTGGATGAGGCATGCAAGGGTCGGCCCTGGAGCCTTCGGGGAATATGCTAAAGGGCTGTCCAGTTGATTCTGACTCACAGGGCCCACACCCATTACAGAGTAGTAGAGGCGCTCCCCTGGGGTTTCCCGGCTGCAATCTTGGTGCAAGCAGATCACCAGATCGCCTCTTGTGCAGCTTCTGGGTAGATTTGAACTGGCAACCATCCAGGTAACAGCCAAGTGCTTCCCCTTTTGACCATAAATTTCCGATGGTCTAAGCCACTCAGTTTGAGGTATATTGCTAGAGGAGGCCGCAGCACCTAACACAGTGTGGGATTTGGGCTTAAATGCACCATCCTCAAGGTGGACTTGTCTGACTGACCAGGGGACTGAAGTAGTCCCCCGACACGTGTCCTCACAGCACTCTGTGTATCGCCAACAACTCGTTTCATATCTCATCTCCACTGACAGAATGCCAGCTCCTCTGTATCCCCACGTGGACGGCATTTCATTACTCGTATTTGTTGAACGAGTGGCCATCGCGAAGTCGAAAAGTGTCTAACAAGGGTCCCTCAGAGAGAAGCAGAGGCCAGGAAAGTCACTCTGAGAAGGACAGCCCACAAGAGCTCCGGCCCAAATGGCCCTTTATAGTCTGTGAGACAGGGAAAAACACTCCAGCAACTCATTCCTTTTCTGCATGCCAAGGCAAATGACACATGTCTTTTCTGTACCTCGAGGCAAATACGTAAGAGGCTTTACGGGCAGGTTAGAAAGGTGCTCACCCAGTTCCCAGGGGATGGCTTCCATTTCTCTCCTGTGCTTCAGATACATGGGCCACACATGCCCGTCGAAGTATCCTGGGGGGTCCGGTGGCTCATAGACCCTTGTGCTACCGACACACGAAGGCAGAATCATGCAATTGACAAGAGTAAACAACGATGGTCAGAACAGGAGGAGATCACTCAGGGATGAACTCTACACATGATTGAGATGACAACGCATTTTAGGGTTGATGTAAACACACGCGACGGAAGGGGAACGGCTTTAGTTTTCCAATCCAAAGGTACTTTGTAATTCCCTAAATGTCATTCCTAATTCTCTCTCTTCCTCTTCTAGTGCTTTCCCGAAGAATTAGGAGTAATTCTTAAAAAAAAAAAAGGGAGTAATTCTTGAAAATCCATGTGAATATAAAGATACGATGAATCAAATGTTGAGGTAACTACTGCTCTGTGTGACTGCAGCAGAGTACAACTGGGTTAGAAACCACGACCCCCCTGAGCTTGGTTCCTGTGAAGCTTTAGAAAACACGTGCCCCATAGCCTGTAAGGGCGCATTTCCTGAGGAAGTGCAATTTGTTTGCCTCCAGGTGGGTGACCAACAAGGGAGTGAAGTTCTACAGCTGCTGCCAGAGTGAAGGCTCCCTTGTTGGAAAGCCACTGTCCACAAATCCTGTCCTTTTAAACTAGAACTCACAAAAGGGGTTTCACAACTCACCTCCTCCTCCTCTTGCACTCTTCATACGGGATGGTCAGAAAATAGCTTCGATTCCAAATCGTGTCCAGGGGCCTAAGACAACAGCTTTATTTAGTTCATACAGTTCCCTGCCCTCTTTCCTTCAGAGTCGACGTCAGAAAGGCGATGCTTACTTATAGTTAAAGAGGAGAAAACCTTCGATAATTAAGATAGGGATTTCCTCAGCACTTGCCCAGTCTGTTGACCACAGGGAGTGTCTTGGATTTTCCATCCAGTCGGAAATGACTGACATCATTTCATCCATCTTCAGTGCTTCAAGAACTGTAAACACACACACACACACACAATTCAGCATTGAAAGTTTTGTGATGAAACTGTTTTTCTTTTTTTTAAATCATTTTATTAGGGGCTCATACAACTCTTATCACAATCCATACACACATCAATTGTGTAAAGCA